AAGAACTAACCAACTAACACACCCCTAATTCATGTTATCAAGACTTCTCATCCCAATGTCTTTCTTTAACTTTTCAAACCTTATTTTCTTCAGAGGTTTGGTGAATATGTCAGCTAGTTGCATTTCTGTCTTGCAATGTTTTATTTCAAGCTTCCCTTTGTTGACTTGATCCCTCAGAAAATGATATCTTCTTTCAATGTGCTTACTTCGACCGTGACACACTGGATGGTTCGCAAGGTTTATAGCTGACTTCTTATCGACAAACAACTTCATCTTCGACTCCATTATTCTGAGCTTCTCAAGTAGCATTTCGATCCATGCTCTTTGGCATGCAACATATGATACAATCACATATTCTGCTTCGCATGATGACAAAGCTACAATGCTTTGCTTCCTCGAACTCCAGGAGATTGGAGCTCCTTCGATCATGAAAATGTATCCTGCAGTACTCTTCTTTTCATCTTGATCTCCACTGAAGTCTGAGTCAGTGTATCCATGAACTTTGACATCTGTGTTGTTCTTCGACTTCTTTGGTAACATAACACCATGATCAATAGTTCCCTTTATGTAGCTCAACACCCTCTTTACTGCAATGAGATGACATTCTTGAGGCTTCTCCATAAATCTGCTCAACAATCCTACACTTTGGCAGATATCTGGTCTAGTATTGCAAAGATACCTCAAGGATCCAATGATTTGTTTGTAAAGGGTCGAATTTACAAACTCATCATTCAATTCCTTCTTCAACTTTGCTCCAGTCTCTAATGGAGTAAAAGCTTCCTTACAGTTGCTCATATTGAACCTCTTCAGTATATCTTGAGCATACTTTGTTTGATGCAAGAAAACTCCTTCTTCGACATCTTTGAATTCCATTCCCAATAAATAGGAGATATTCCCTAAATCAGACATTTCGAATTCCTGCATTAACATTGACTTTACCTTCATTATCTCAGCTTCATTTACTCTCCTGTAATGGCTAAGTCATCAACATAGAGGCATAAAATGATTTGATTGACACTTTCAACACCATTTACATACACTCCATGTTCAGAGAGACACACTTTATGAAACCTTCTTTGATTAGAAAGCTATATATCCTTTTATTCCAAGCTCTAGGAGCTTGCTTCAAGCCATAGAGAGCCTTCCTTAATCTGTAAACTTTCGTCTCCTACCCTTTAACGTCGAAACCTGATGGTTGAGTAACGTAGACTTCTCTTCCAATGGACCATTCAAAAATGCTGACTTCACATCAAGTTGGTGCATTTTCCATCCTCTACATGCAGCTATCGAAATAACAATCCCGATTGTTTCGATCCTAGCAACAGGTGCATATACTTCGTCGAAGTCAATACCAGGTTTTTGTAGAAAACCTCTGGCCACCAATCTTGCCTTATACTTTGCAATCTCACCATTTGGCCTTCGTTTCACCTTGTAGATCCATTTCACATCGATTAGTTTCTTGTTGGTTCTTTCGACAAGCTCCCAAGTCTTGTTCTTCTTAATGGCTCTAAGTTCTTCTTTCATGGCTTCACACCAATTCGAATTTTTCAAGGCTTCACCCAAATCAACTGGTTCTGCTTCAACCATTATCATGGCTTCTTTGATTAAGTCACAATCTGCATCGATTGCTTGATCTGGAAACCTCTCATATCCAATCAGCCTAGTCAACTTAGTTCTTGTTCTTGTGGACCTTATTTCATTTTGCACAGATGGTTCTTCATTTTGACTTGTCGAAGCTTCATTCTCTTCATCTTCTTCAAACACGGTTGTGACTGTGTCTGATTCATGTCGAACTGAACTTCGACTTCACTCCCATCCTTTGCTTTCATCTACAATAACATCTCTACTGATCACTAGTTTATCTTCAATTGGTGAATACAACCTGTATGCACCAGTCGAATGATAACCCATGAGCACCATGACTTCACTTCAATCATCCAGCTTCTTTCTCAATTGTTTAGGTACATGCCTGAAACACATTGATCCAAAAATTCTAAGATGACTTACATTTGGCTTCGACCCTGCCCAAGCCTCATGCAGTGTCTTTTCGACCATCTTCTTCGCTGGGCATCTATTTAGAATGTATACTGCTATCGAAGCAGCTTCAGCATAAAATCTCTTAAGTATATTCTTAGCTTTCAACATACATCTTGTCATGTTCAGCACATTTCTATTCTTTCTCTCAGCTATGCCATTATACTGAGGCGTATAGGGTGAAATAACCTCATGCTCTATACCTTCCTCATTGCAAAATCTAGCAAATTCAGCAGAAGTATATTCACCACCACCATCATTTCTTAACTTCTTCAATATGCATCCACTTTTTTTCTCAGCATGCAACTTGAACTTCTTGAACTGTGTGAATACCTCACTCTTCCTCTCAATAAGGTAAATCCATATATGTCTAGTGAATTCATCAATGAAAGTAAGGAAATATTTGTTACCTCCATTAGACTTTACTTCAAAGGGTCCACACACATCTGAATGAACCAACTCCAATTTTTGCCTTGATCTTATAGGAAAATCACATTTGGACGCCTTCCTTGCCTGCTTAGATTTGTTGCATTCCTCACATATCTGCTTTGGTTCCTTCACATACGGCAACCCAAACACCATTCTTTTCTTATTGAGCATACATGAACTCTTGAGCTTTAGATGTTCATACCTGTGATGCCATAGTCAGTTCTTGTCTTCTTCTATAGTTGAAGCAAGACATTTGTGATCTGATATGTTGAGTTCAACCCTAAATTTTTTTTATCCATCAATGGTGCTTTCATTATTAGCCTCTCATCATCCCTATATACCTTCATCTGATTATTCTCCAACGTCATATTGAAGCCTTTTACAAGTAATTGACCTACACTTATCAAGTTACTTGTCATCGAAGGTACATATAGAACTTTAGTGATAGTAGCCTTTCGACCATCCTTTCTGATAATCAGAATATCTCCTTTATCACCCGACTTAATATGCCTGCCATCTGCAAACTTCATCACCTTTTTGAAGGATTCATCTAACTTGGTAAACCAGTTTTTATTGCCAGTCATGTGGTTGCTACATCCTGAATCCAGATACCACATGTTGTTTTTCTCAGTATTCGACTGAGTGTTCACCAGCAACAACACATTATCAGAGTCATTACTTCCAGCTCGTGCACATTGAGCTTCATCACTATCTTTCGACTTCGCAGCTTTCTTTCTTGGACAATCTCTAGCATAGTGGCCAAACAATTGTAACATTGCACATCTTTCGTGTCAACTTTCTTTCTAGAATACTTGTTGCCCACACCTTTCGAATCAGTATTCTTGCTTGACTTCTCATCACCAGCAAGATTCTTTCGCTGCTTCGACTACTCTTTTCCATCTTTCTTGCTGATTCTTGATTGCAATGGTTGTTCAGTTGTCTTCTCTCTTTCCGAGTTTCTCTACTGCAACCTCATTTCGTGAGCCTCCAATGAAGCTTGAAGTTCTTCCAACTTCATCTCAGATAGATTCTTGGCCTCTTCAATTGTTATAACAAAGTAATCAAAGTCTACAATTAAAGATCTCAATATCTTTTCTAGCGCCACAACTCTTGAGAAATATGCAGAAGTAGATTCATCCTTTTTCATCTGAAGCATCTCATACTGCTTCCTCGAAGTTTGCAACTTCACCTTCTTCAGATTCTCATCTCAACCATACAAGGATTTCAGTTTTTCCCAAGCTCCTTTTGATGTTTCTTCTTCAATTATCTTCTCAAATACATCACAATCCACACACTGGTGAATCAAGAACATTGCCATCTTTCTTCCCCTGATCTTTGTGCGCAACTTTCTGGGCTTCTGTAGCATCTTCATCCAGTTCTGATATTCCATCATTCAAGATTTCTACAACATCTTGAAATATGAAAATAACCTTCATTTGTGTCACCCATCGTTGATAGTTTTCACCTTTGAAAATCGGTAGATTCGTTGAAAACTGTGTTGATGTTGTTGATCCGTTTGCCATTAGATTCTCTCTGAATCGCAAACAAGCTCTTGATACCAATTTGTTGGAACAAAGGATTCAAGAAAGATGATTTTGTGAAAACAAGAAGAAGAAGAAGAAGAAGAAAAAGAAGAAGAAGAGAGAGAATTGATGAGTTAGTTATGCATAACTAACTATGTAAATTGAATTGTATTATTGTTGCTTACTATTACAAACACAATGGTCCTTTGTATAGACAAAATAGTCCAGGCTCAAATACATGCTAAAAAATCCAAATAACTACATAACAAGAATTAACCAATTAACAAACTCAAGCATATTAAAAGGTGTCATCCAAGTAACCCCAGATAATCGTGGAAGTACACTGATGAATTATTCAGGATGCGCTTTTTACCCGAAGCAATTCAATTTTTTGGACAAGATAAACAATAAAACTGCTTCCTTCAACATCTCTTTTGTTCTCAACGTAAGTCCTCAAACTTCCCCTGGTGGAGAAGGCATAGCCTTTATGTTAACTTCACAACCCTATCTCCCTGAAAACAGTGATGGACAATGGCTTGGTATTGTTAATGCTTCCACAAATGGAACTTCTCGAGCCGAAATTCTTGCAGTGGAGTTTGATACACTACGAAATAATATGGTCCTTCTGACCATGTTGGAACCAATATAAATAGCATCTCTTCTTTTAAGCAAAAACCATTATCAAACACTAAGGTCAATCTTTCATCTGGTGGAAATGTAACTGTGAGAATTCAATATTCCAATGAATTAAAATTCACAAGATTCTATGGAGACCCTTTTCGTTTCGCCTCCTTTTAACCTCTCTTCTTATCTTAGTCAAGAGGTTTACGTCGGTTTTTCTGCTTCAACAAGCAGTTACACAGAGCTGAACTGTGTAATAAGATGTGAATTCAATGGAGAAGATATGGTACTGATAATGATATAAATCTCTGGTGGATTTGGATTATAATTCCAATTATGCTAATCCTAGGCGTTTTGGTCTTTATTTTGGCTTATGTTCGGAGAAGAAAAAACATGAAGTTTTCGGAAGATATCTATCCACATATAGAGGATCAAATTCAACACTCATCTATGGTTCCAAAGAAATATGAATTAAAGGAATTGATAAAAGCAACAGGTGGATTCAGCGATCAGAACAAGCTCGGTGAAGGTGGATTTGGAACTGTCTATAAGGGTATCCTTGAAAACAACAAAGAGATAGCTGTGAAGAGAATCTCAAAGAACTCGTGTCAAGGAAAGCAAGAATTTATAGCAGAAGTAACAACAATTGGAAGCCTTCACCACAAGAACTTAGTAAAACTCATTGGTTGGTGCTACGAGCGGAAAGAGCTTCTTCTTGTTTATGAATTCATTCTAAATGGAAGTTTAGACAAATACCTATTTGACCAATCAAGTGAATTTGAAGTACAATGTTCCAAAGTACTTGATTAGAAAACTAGGAATAGCGTGATTCGTGACGTGCCGCAAACAGTGTATTATCTTCACAATGGATGTGAGAAAAGAGTGCTTCATAGAGATATTAAAGCAAGCAACATAATGTTGGACTTAGATTACAGCGCGAAATTGGGTGATTTTGGATTGGCGCGAACAATTTAAAAGAGAAATGAAACTCATCATTCGACAAAGCAAATTGCAGGGACCCCGGGTTATATTGCACCAGAAACTTTTCTAATGGGAAGAGCGACGGTCGAAACAGATGTGTATGCATTTGGTGTACTTGCTTTGGAAGTTGTGGGTGGAAAAAGACCAAAAAATGTGTATCCACAAGAGGATTATAAAAAATAATATTGTGTATTGGGTTTGGGAGCTTTATGGAAAAGGGAAAATTGTTAGTGTTATTGATAAAAGGATATGTGTTGATGAAGAGGATGATGAGATTGAGAGGATAACATTGGAAGAAGTTGTAATTGTGCTTATTTTTGGATTGGCCTGTTGTCATCCAATTCCAAATGAAAGGCCATCAATGAAAACTGTTTTGATGATTCTAAATGGAGAAGCTTCTCCTCCAACTGTTCCATTGGAAAAACCTGCTTTTGTTTGGCCTGCTATGCCTTCATCTTTCAAAGAAGGTGAAGATGGTTTTCTTATCAATGGAACTCTCACTCCATTCTCTCAACTTAGTGGAAGATAGAAAAAATTGAAGTCGCTTGTTTTCGGCAAAACTATGAAATCACTTTGTACTATAGTTTGATAATATTAGTGCTAGTTTTCTATGTCAATGAATTTATATGTACTATAGTTTGATTTTTAATTATAATTCATGACTATCTTTTTCTTATATTAATTTTTGCACATATGCATTGGAATATATTTCTCTTATATAAATTTTTGCACATATGCATTGGACCTGTTGCTTGGATAAGTGATCCATTTTTTCTTTCTCGTTCGTATACTTTGTTTTCTTCATGCAAGGAGGATTGGGTACTTGCTTAAAGCTTAAAGCGTATAATAAGAATAATTATGTATTTGGAAGGTTGTACATGGTGTTTAGGATTGTTGATGGTGTTAGAGCAAGTTAATATAAAGTGGTGAGAAATTTTGTATATGTGAATCTTAGGTGAATCAAATGATCTCTTCTCAATCATGTGGTTGAGTTATTTGTAGAGGTCTACAAAGTTTAGATCTTTGAAATCAGAGAGTTGTTATTCTGCTCCTCTCTCAGGAGCGTGGGATATGGAAACCGTCACTCCCCATATTATTTATGAGCTTTCCATGCCGTTAGGGCCTACAGACATGGCATTCCCCATGTTTCATAAGTGTGTGAGAGACGACCATCCAAATCCAATAGAGTGTCAATGATGCACCCAATGAGTGAATGTTATGACCAATGACTGAGTGTTGCGATCAATAGACGACTCGAGACCCAACTTTGGGAGGCATGTGGTATTTTCCCACCTTTAGTGATCTTTATATTGCTCCCTTTGTGTCATTTTTCTTCCGTTCTTGATAAACGTATCTCTATATAGGGTTAATACGATTATATTGGTACATAGCCCCTCAAGCACGAGAGCTTGTAAAAGACAAAATAGTTTAGTTCATTCGTCTTTAATCTTCACACTTGGTAGTGTATGTTAAGTAGAAATTGGGAGAGTCCCTTAAGCAGAACTTGGACACGAGTCCCTCAAGCAGAACTTGAGACGAGTCCCTCAAGAAGAACTTGGATGGGAGTCCCTCAAGTAAAACTTGGGGCGAGCCCTTCGAGCAGAACTTGGATGTGAGTCCCTAAAGTAGACATTGGGGTGAGTCCCTTAAGAGACCTTGGAGGAAATCTCCAAACGTCAATTGAGGTGAATCCTCAAACGTCAGCAAAGTTAAGTGCATGTGCAACATTAAATTTATCTAATAATGAGACTGTTTTAGGAATCTAAATTGTTCTTGGTTCCTTACATGTGTCAGATACATGGGAAATATTTTTGCATTTGTTGATGTAACTATTGAGAGGTTATTGATAAAATAGAGGGATGTGCTGAAAGACAACCTTAAAAAGGTGGCATTAGAGGCCTTAACGCTCACCCTCTTAGATAAATTACTGAAGGAGTGCCTCGATGTTTCACTTCACTCTCAAAAGAAGCCGGAGGAAGAATTTCTACTCTTAAATATGCATTAGTGGAAACTTCAGATCATTACTTCAAGCGAGAAAAGAAGCATGTAGTCTTCCTCTAAACTAAGTCAAATGGACTTATTCAATGTGGTTTGGGACATCCAATTAGTGGAAGAAGAAGAGGTTCCACCTCTGAAGGAGTCTAGCATATCTCCTGATAGAGATACTTAGGTTTAACTTGAGGGTGACAATACGGGGGTGGATGAAACTCCCAAGGATGATTCTTCTCTTCAAGAGAGTGATTTAGATGAATGGTGGGCCAGTAAGCTCGCGGCTATGTTGTTTATTCCCATTGTGGATATTTTTTATAACCACAACCCTAGGGGCTTTTGTAATAATTAATTGTGTCCTTAGGGGTTTTTTTATTGTACCTTCTCCTTTTAGGGTTTTGCTAATAATTTTTTTGTCTTAAGACACCTTTTTCTTGCTTATTATTCATGAGTAAATTATTTTAGAATACCTTGTACATGTTTTCTGACATTGTTGGCTCCGAAGGGAAACAAGGATTCCTCCATGAGGATCTAGAATAAGTAATTACCTCTTGGATGACAAGGATTCCTACTTGAAGTTATATCATAAGTAATATCCTCTTACACAACAAGGATTCCTCCATGAGGATCCAACATAAATAATTTCCTCTTGTGTGGCAAGGATTCCTCCATGAGTATCCAACATAAATAATTGCCTCTTGGGCGACAAGGATTCCTCGATGAGGATCCATTTTAAATAATTTCCTCTTGGAAGGCAATGACTGTAACACTCGAGGCCGAAGATGTAACACCCGATGTCGAAGAGGGTGGTGCATGGATAATTTTGAAAGCAGTCAGGGGCGTTACAAATGGTATCAAAGCCTGGCCTCTCCTAGTACGATGTGGTTCGAGGATGAACCATACAGAAGTTTCCCATAAACCATATGAGTGAGGAAAAAGCATGTTGAAAAGACTCGTGTTGGTTTATGGGGTCAGTCGATAATCCTGAAAGCATTGTAGGGCATTTCAAATGGTATTAGAGCCAAACCTCTCCCAGTATAATGTTGTTTGAGGGTGAACCATGCGGAAACTGATGGGTATGTGACACTCGAGGATGAAGAGGGCGAGGAGTGCTTGCCATATCAAAATGAGAGAGATCTTAATGTTGTGCAGGTATGGGACTTCATGGGTTAAAGGAAGGCTTATAAGGATTGATAGGTACTACCTATTCCAACAAGATGCATCTTCTTTTCGGTAGCCTAACATATAAAAACATCGGAGTTAAAGAGAGTTGACTTAGAGTAGTATTTGGATGTGTAACCTTATAGGAAGTTTCCCATAAAGCATGTGAGTGAGGACAAAACATACTGAATAGACACATTGTTGGCAGTCGGGGGCGTTATAAATGGTATCAGAGTCAAACCTCTCCCAGTACGATATGATTTAAGGATGAACCATGCGGAAGTTTCTCAAAAAGCTTGTGAATGAGGATAAAGCATTCTGAAAAGACCCGTGTGGGGTCTGTCGGTAATCTTGAAAGCAATCTGGGGCGTTACAAATGGTATCAGAGCCAGACCTCTCCCAGTATGATGTTGATCGAGGATGAACCATACGAAAGTTGGTAGACATGTAATACTCAAGGCCGAAGAGGGGGATGAGTGTTTGTCACATCAAAATGAGAGGGATCCTGAGGCTTTGTAGGAATGAGACTATATGGTTGAAGAAGGCTTATAAGAATTAATATGTACTACCTATACCAACAAGATTCATCTTATTTTTGGATGGGTGGCCTTCTGGGAGGTTTCCTAAAAAGCATGTGAGTGAGAATAAGCATGCTGAAAATACATGTGTTAGTTTGTGGGGTCAGTCGGTAATCCTGAAAGTAGTCGAGGATGTTTTAAATGGTATTAGATCCATAACTCTCCAAATATAATGTGATTCGAGGATGAACCATGCAGAAGTTTCCCGAAAAGCATGTGAGTGAGGAGAAAACATGCTAAAAAGACTCTTGTTAGTTTGTGGAGTCAGTCGGTAATCCTGAAAGCAGTCTGGGGAGTTACGAATTGTATCAGAGCCAAACCTCTCCCAATAAGATGTGTTTCCAAGATGAACCATGTAGAAGCTTGTGGGCATGTAATACTCGAGGCCGAAGAGGGAGCAAAGTGGTCTCCACATCAGAAAGGAAGGAATCCTTAGGTTGTGTAGGTATGAGACTGCATGGTTGAAGGAAGGATTTTAAGAATTTATAAGTACTACCTATACTAATAAGTTGCATCTTCTTTTTGGTAGTCTAATAGATAAGAACTCCATAGTTAAGGAGGATTGACTTGGAGAAGTATTTTGATGGGTGACCTTCTTGGAAGTTTTCTAGAAAGCTTGTGAATGAGGACAAAACATGCTGAAAAGACCTCGTTTTTGCAATTGGAGGCGTTACAAATTGTATCAGAGCCAGACCTCTCCTAGTACGATGTGGTTCGAGGATGAACCATGCTAAAGTTTCTCGAAAGGGGTGTGAGTGAGGACAAAGCATGTTGAAAAGATCAGTGTTGGTTTGTAGTGTCACTCGGTAATCTTGAAAATAGTTTGGGGTGTTATAAATGGAATCAGAGTCAGACCTCTCCTAGCACTACGTTGTTCGAGGATGAACCATGCGGAAGTTGATAGGCATGTAACACTCGAGGCTAAAGAGGGCGACAAATAGTCACCATAACGGAACGAGAGTCCTCCTGTTGTTTTGCAGGTATGAGACTTCATGGTTGAAGGAATGCTTATAAGGATTGATATGTACTATCTATTCTAACAAGATGCATATTCTTTTCGGTAGCCTAACAGATAAGAACTCCATAGCTAAGGAGGATTGACTTGGAGAAGTATTTGGATGGGTGATCTTCTGGGAAGTTTTCCATAAAGCGTGAGAGTGAGGACAAAGTATGCTGAGAAGACCCAGTGTTGGTTTTTGTGGTCAATCAGTAATCTTAAAAGAAGCCAAGGGTGTTACAAATGGTATCAGAGCCAGACCTCTTCCAATATGATGTTGTTCGAGGATGAACCATGTAAAAGTTTCCCATAAAGCATGTGGGTGAGGACAAAGTATGCTGAAAAGGCTCATGATGGTTTGTGGGGTCAGTGGTAATTCTGAAAGCAGTCTAGGGCTACAAATGGTATCAGAGCCATACCTCTCCATGTACGATGTTGTTCGAAGATGAATTATGTGGAAGCTGTGGACATGTAGCACTCAAGGCCGAAGAAGGTGGGGAGTGGTCGTCATATCAGAATGAGAGTGATCTTGAGGTTGTGCAGGTATGAGACTACACGGTTGTTGGAATTCTTATAAAGATTGATATATACTACCTATTACAATAATATGCATCTTCTTTTCGGTAGCCTCATAGATAAGAACTCCACAGTTAAGGAGGATTGACTTTGAATAGTATTTGGATGGGTGAACTTCTAGAAAGTTTCCCATAAAGCATGTGAGTAAGGACAAAGCATCATGGAAATATCTGGTGTGTATAGTCGGGGGTGTTACAAATAGTATCAAAGCCATACATCTCCTAGTAC